ACCGACACAGCAGCTAAGCGGGAGGCCTTTACCTGGTCAAATATTTAAATAAGCGACTGATAGTAGCTTAGCTGGACACCTTTACCTGGTCAAATATTTAAAACAGTGACCGACACAGCAGCTAAGCGGGAGGCCTTGACCTGGTCAAATAATAAAGAAAAAAAACCACAGTTCAGTTCATTTCGAGTTTATCCAAGTGACTCTCTCCTGCTCACGAGCGGGACCCGGCGCGTGCGTGTGAAGAGCGGTGGCGCAGCGGTTAGCGCCGCCAACCCGCGGCAGACACCCGTGGGAGTTCGATTCCCGCTTGCGGTGACGATTAACATTATCGATTATCACCTGTGTTGACGATCATCTGACCCGGTCGCCTGGGCCGCCTCCTCCTCCCTCCTCCCCCCACCCCCCCCACCCCCCCCCCTAGGCCGACTCGGCTTCGAATTAGTACTTGATAGCGGTGTGTAGTAGTAGTAGCGAACATCGCCACTGGGGGAGACAAAGGCGGCCGGGCGTGGTGCTGGCCACCCACCCCCTCGTGTGCCACAGTGCCGGTAGCCTTCATAGGTGCTGCTGTTGCTACTCGCAAACAGCACTTGCCCTAACAGCCTGTTCAGGCTACACGGAGGACCTTTGTCTGTGTCTGTGTGGTGGCTAAAGCACAGCAGGTTGGCACAGTAGGGGGCACAGGTGGTGCATCAGCCAGTCATCTCAGTCAGTCGACCCGTGGCACCTGGGTCTGCCCCGTGACCTCCTGCCAGCGGGCGTTCCACACTTCACGTGGCCTCAGGGTGCACATAGCCTGGCACAAGCGTCGTGGTGACGTCACCGCCACTTAGTGGCGAATGGCGGTTGTTGTTGTGTGTGTGTCTGTGTGTGTCTGTGTTTGTGTGTCTGTGTCTGTGTGTGTCTCTGTGTGTCTCTGTGTGTGTTTCTCTGTGTCTGTGTGTGTGTGTCTCTGTGTGTGTGTGTCTGTGTGTGTCTGTGTGTGTCTGTGTGTCTGTGTGTGTGTCTCTGTGTCTCCGTGTTCGTTCACGCGTTCCTTATCCGCGACCGGGTCGAGCCGTCTCCGCGAATGTAATAACAATCATAACAACGATAACAACAACAATAAATAAACACAAACAACTTTACAGCGTGTCTGACAAGAGGGGGTCCCAGGGCAGGGGGGCGGAGCCAGGATTTCAGCCCGGGGGTGACATTCAACAAATGTTAATTTCAAGAATGATTCGGAGAGTCAGGCTGTTGATACTAGACGCCATCGGTTGACGGACACACGCTCTGACAATGCAGTTGGCACCGAGTCCGCGAGACCGAGTGTCGTACACCCACACGCAGAATGTCACCAGCCCCTGTCACCCCCCCTGGCTCCGCCCCTGTCCCAGGGTAGGGGTTGTTCACGCACGCGGGGGATCGCCATACCCATCCGTGCGGATTTCCCGCGGGTTGACAATTGACCGTATTCTCTGGATTATGACGGGAGCCTCCCCCTCTCTCCCCTGCCACCCGCCCCGGAACGTCGAACAATACGCGCTACGTGTGTGTGTGCGTGCACGCGCGGGGAGCGGTGGTGCAGCGGTTAGCGCTACGCTGCGCTACGAACCCGGCGACCCGAGTTCGATTCCCGCTCACGGCCGACACCGCCAGTGACGGTTATCTGAGCCGGTACCTGGGCCTCCCCTAGGTCGACTCGGCCTTAAATGGGTACCTGGTGTAGCGGTGTGTAGTGAACATCGCTAGCACTGGGGAGACAAAGGCGGCCGGGCGTGGTGCTGGGCACCCACCCCCTCGTGTGCCACAGTGCCGGTAGCCTTCACAGGTGCTGCTCGCTAACAGCACTTGCCCCTACAGTCTGTTAGAGGCTACACGGGGGACCTTTGTCTGTGTCTATAGGTGCTGCTCGCTACTCACAACCACTTGCCCCTACAGCCTGCTAGAGGCTACACGGGGGACCTTTGTCTGTGTGTCTATAGTTGCTGCTCGCTACTCACAGCACTTGCCCCTACAGCCTGTTAGAGGCTACACGGGGGACCTTTGTCTGTGTGTCTATAGATGCTGCTCGCTACTCACAGCACTTGCCCCTACAGCCCTGCTAGAGGCTACACGGGGGACCTTTGTCTGTGTCTATAGGTGCTGCTCGCTACTCACAGCACTTGCCCCTACAGCCTGTTAGAGGCTACACGGGGGACCTTTGTCTGTGTCTATAGTTGCTGCTCGCTACTCACAGCACTTGCCCCTACAGCCCTGCTAGAGGCTACACGGGGTTCAGTGCAGCACTAGTCAACTCGATTGGCCACGTGCTTGTTCACGTGACAAGCCCCAGTAACCGATTGGCCGTATCGAATGATGATGATGATGGTGGTGGTGGGTTTTGACGACACAACGCAGTTTTACATTTTCCCATGCTCCGACCCAACACAAAAAATAACCACCACCACCAACACCACCACCGGCCCTCCCTCTCTCCGTTACGGAAAAACATTTGTCCCGAAAGCCATCGGCTACCGCCAACTATAATAATAATAGGGGTTTTCCCCATTTTTTTCTTGCAACAAAACTGAAACCGTTTTTTTTTACAAGGATTCACGTCACTGCATTAACAACAATAACCTGCAGTCAAAAATGCAAGACAAAAACAACATACCGTGATATTATGATACGATGCGCTGCCCTTGAGAAACTGGTCGAGCACCAATTGGGTCGAGGCTCAAAAGAAAGCCGTCACCAATCAGTTTTCAAGGACAATGCATCATCATCATCATATTATCAGAGTATGTTTTTTTTAATATTCTTAGCCCTTTCGCTAAAGTCACCACGTTGAAGGGAAACAATAAAATAAATATATATAAAACAATAAAAAAAATTCTCACGACGTTTCGACACAACCTGATGACGACCCTTTGTGTTACGGTCGAAACGTCGTGATAATTTTTTTTTATTGTTTTATATATATACTTTTTATTATCTTATTGTTTCCCTTCAACGTGGGTGACTTTACCGAAAGAGCCAAGAATATGAAATTACTTCAGTCACGATGGCTTTAAATCAAAATTTAGCATGTTTTTTTTGTTTGCATTTTGACTGCAGGCATTGGTGGTTCATGCAGTGAACATGAATCCTCGTAAAAAAAAACAAAACACACAACGGTTTCAGTTTAGCTGCCGGAAAAAAATGGTGGGGGAAAAACCCCCTATTATCATCATCATCATCGTTATCATCATTATCATCACTACTACACTTTTGGTACCGCCAAAGGAAGTCTAACGATACCACCCGCCAACTAATCTCGATTTGCAGCTTCTGCGACGGCAGGGGATCCGCACGCTCGTTTCCTCGCGGTAAGATCGCCGCGTGGGGAGGAAGTACGAGACAAATCACGGCAGGGCCACTCGGCAGGCGACCAACGCCTTCCCCACCCGACGGTGGACAGTTGCGCGTGCCCGCCAAATCATTTTATTTGACACCGTGCGCGACTTTACCGCAAAGAACCACAGCGGGCGTGCGACCCTCCTACGGCACCGTCTCCGTGAATTTGCACTCCCTACGTCCTTTGCCCGTCTGGCTGTTGTTGTTGTTGCTGCTGCTGTTGCTGCTGCTGTTGCTGCTGCTGTTGTTGTTGTTGTTGTTGTCGGATCTCGCCGTTGTAAAGGGCCGCTTGCCGAGATTGGGCGGCAGTGATGGGGCTGGGGGGGGGGGGGGGGCAGATTGCCAGCTCATCGATTTCCTCCTGAAATGTGTAATCTGGAGAATACGGTGAAGGGTCGTGCCCCGCATCTCTCCTCCTCCTCCTCCTCCTCACTCACTTACTCACTCACTCCCGGGGGAGGGGGCAGAAGCGATGGGGTGAAAAGTATCACAACCACCAAACATCATAACCATCGCAACCCATCGCAACCCCTACCATCATCACAACCCCTACCATCATCACAACCATCACAACCGTTACCATCACAACCCCTACCATCATCACAACCATCACAACCCTTACCATCACAACCCCAAACATCACAACCATCATAACACCTACCATCATCACAACCCCTACCATCATCACAACCATCACAACCCTTGCCATCACAACCCCTAAAATCATCACAACCCTAAGCATCACAACCCCTACCATCATCACAACCCCTACCATCATCACAACCCCTACAATCATCACAACCCCTACAATCATCACAACCCTAAGCATCACAATCCCTACCATCATCACAACCATCACAACCCCTACCATCATCACAACCATCACAACCCTTACCATCACAATCCCTACAATCATCACAACCCCTACCATCATCACAACCCCTACCATCATCACAACCCTTACCATCACAACCCCTACAATCATCACAACCCCTACCATCATCACAACCCTTACCATCACAACCCCTACAATCATCACAACCCCTACCATCATCACAACCCCCCAACGCAGCAGACAGTAGTAGACAGTAGTAGAACAGGGTGGAGGAGGAGGGCGGAGGAGGGGGGGAGGAGGAGGGGGGAGCAGGAGGGAGGGTGAGGAGGGGGGGGGTGAGGAGGAGGGGGGTGAGGAGGAGGGGGGGGGGAGGAGGAGGGGGGAGGAGGAGGGGGGGTGAGGAGGAGGGGGGGTGAGGAGGGGGGGTGAGGAGGAGGGGGGGTTAGGAGGGGGGGTGAGGAGGGGGGTGAGGAGGAGGGGGGGTGAGGAGGAGGGGGGGTGAGGAGGAGGGGGGGTGAGGAGGAGGGGGGGGGTGAGGAGGAGGGGGGGTGAGGAGGGGGGTGGGGTGAGGAGGAGGGGGGGGGGGGGAGGAGGGAGGGGGTGAGGAGGAGGGGGGGGGGTGAGGAGGAGGGGGGGGGGTGAGGAGGAGGAGGGAGGGGGTGCACCACCACCACCACCATCATCGTCAACAACAGGGCAAGCGCAATCCACCCCCACCCACCCCTCTGGCTCCCCCCCCCCGGCTCCCTCCCCCCCACCTCCCCTCCCCCCCCGGCTCACCCCCCGGCTCCCTCCCCATGGCTCCCTCCCCCCACCCCCCCCCCTCCCGTCCGCGAGGGGGGGTAATAAAATACTGGACACGTGTGTCAAAGCGCTTTACCGCCCTTCAGATTCCTCCTGCGACATAAATAAAAGATTCTGATTCTGAATACGAACCCCACTGCAAAGATATTCTTTCAAGAAATGTTCAATTCCAGAAATTAATAACACAAAAATTCCAGAAATTGCAATTCCAGAAATTGCTAACAAAAAAAATAGAAATTGCAATAAACAAAATTCAAGAAATAGCAATCCCAGAAATTGCTAACAAATAGATATTTTAAGAAATTTCAATTCCAGAAATTGCTAACGAAAAAATAAAAAAATAGCAATTCCACAAACTGCAACAAAACAAGTTTGAGAAATTGTAATTCCAGAAATTGCAAAAAAAAACATCTAAGGCATTGCAATTCCAGAAATTGTAAAAAAAGAAATTTAAGAAATTGCAATTCCAGAAATTGCTAACAAAATTTTTTTCTAGAAATTGCAATTCCAGAAATTGATTTTTTTTAAATAAGAACTTTCAATTCCATAAATCGCGAACAAAAAATAGCAGAAATTTCAATTCCAAGAACTGTAGAAATTGATAACAAAAAAATTACGAAATTGCAATTCCAGAAATTGTAAAAAAAAAAAGAAATTCAAGAAATTTCTATTCTGAACATCGCTAACAAAAAAAAATTAAGAGATTGCAATTCCAGAAATTGTAAAAAAAAAATTAGAAATTGCAATACCAGAAATTTCCTAAAAAATTACGAAATAGCAATAAAAAATGTAGAAAAGCAATCCCAGAAATTGCAAACAGACAAACATTTTAAGAAATTTCAATTCCAGAAATTGCTAAAAAAAAAAGTTTGAGAACTTGCAATTCCAAAAATAAAAAAAAAATAATATCTAAGGCATTGCAATTCCAGAAAGTGCTAAAAAATAAAATAATAAATTTCAATAACAGAAATTGCTAACCAATTTTTTTTTTTTACAAATTGCAATTCCAGAATTTTTTTCTTTTTTTTACTAAAAACAACACCCCAAAGCAAAGGAAACAACAAAATTTTGTTTTATCTTCACCATCACCATCACCGTCGTCGTCATCATCATCATCGCAAATTTCCCGCGGGCAGGTCGCGAAGCGAGCGCCGTGGACACCTGCCCCCCCGGGCGGGGGTTGTGATGAAGGCCCGCGGCGGTGGCGGCGGTGGTGGTGGGGTGAGCGGGGTCCTCGCAGCCGGCGGGGTCCTCGTGAGAGACTTGAGGCGTCCTCACAGGTGCCTGTAGCGAGTCTTCTTCGTCTTGGCCAGCTTCGGCTGCGGCCGGTACTGGTTGTTGTCTTGATGCTCCAGCTCCTTGCGGAAGTACTCGATCGTCTTGTCGAGTCCCTCTTCCAGCGGCACCTGTGACGGGCACAGAGGTTGGCGCTGCCGCTGCCCGCAATTTTAAATACCCCGCTCAATCTCGCTCGATCGATCGCTTGATCGATCGATCGCTCGCTCCGTCATTGGCTCCATCGCTCGCGTGATTGATCAGTCGCTTGATCGATCGCCTGACCGCACACTCGCTTGATCAATCGCTCGCTCAGTCACTCGCTGGGTCGATCGATCGCTGGATCGATCGAACGCTGGATCGATCGAACGCTGGATCGATCGCTGGATCAATCGCTCCGTCATTGGCTCCATCGCTCGCGTGATTGATCACTCGCTTGATCGATCGCCTGACCGCACACTCGCTTGATCAATCGCTCGCTCCGTCACTCGCTGGGTCGATCGATCGCTGGATCGATCGCTCCGTCATTGGCTCCATCGCTCGCGTTATTGACCAGTCGCTTGATCGATCGCCTGACCGCACACTCGCTTGATCAATCGCTCGCTCCGTCACTCGCTGGGTCGATCGCTCACGTGATCACTCGCGCCGTTGCTCACTCGCGCGCTTGATCAATCCCTCCCGTTATCGCTTGATCGCTCACTCGCGCGCTTGATCAATCCCTCCCGTTATCGCTTGATCGCTCACTCGCGCGCTTGATCAATCCCTCCCGTTATCGCTTGATCGCTCACTCGCTCGATTGACCGGTCACTCACCCGGTCGCTCCATCGCTCGCCGTAACGATTGATTGACTGCCGACCCTGCAGTTATATTTATTTTACTCAAGCTAAACTATTTTTTATTTTCACGTTTATTTTTACACACCAGGCGTAAGGCCACGCACCGGGCTGCCGTGCGAGCACGTCGTGTTCAGAAGCGAAACCCTGGCCCCATCGCCGATGACAGCAGCTCAATCAAACGGCGGCTGAATCATCACCGTCACCTGAATCATCACCGTGACCGTCATCGTCACCGTCATCATCATCGTCACCGTCACCGTCATCATCGTCGTCGTCGTCGTCCGTGTAGGAAGTTTATAATAGCAGCAGCCAGATGACTCTCAAGTGCGTGGCTGACGTGGATTCTAAGCCATGGAGGCGGGAAAACGCAACCACGGGGAGAGAGATAGCGAGAGAGACACACGAAGACTTCCAAATATACAGCAGCAGGCATAGTGAACCGTTAGTGCGGAGCACGTGTCCCGTTAGAACGTGGAATGTGTGTCGTTCTAACGTGGAATGTGTGCTGTTATAACATGCAATGTGCCGTTCTAACGTGGAATGTGTGTGCTGTTATAACGTGGAATGAGCTGTTATAACGTGGAATGTGCTGTTATAACGTGGAATGTGCTGTTATAACGTGGAATGTGCTGTTAGAACGTGGAATGTGTGTGCTGTTATAACGTGGAATGTGTGTGCTGTTATAACATGCAATGTGCCGTTCTAACGTGGAATGCGTGTGTGCTGTTATAACGTGGAATGTGCTGTTATAACGTGGAATGTGCTGTTATAACGTGGAATGTGTGTGCTGTTATAACGTGGAATGTGCTGTTATAACGTGGAATGTGCTGTTATAACGTGGGATGTGCTGTTATAACGTGGAATGTGTGTGCAGTTATAACGTGGAATGTGTGCTGTTATAACGTGGAATGTGTGTGCTATTATAACGTGGAATGTGTGTGCTGTTCTAACGTGGAATGTGTGTGCTATTATAACGTGGAATGCGCTGTTATAACGTGGAATGTGCTGTTATAACGTGGAATGTGTGTGCTGTTATAACGTGGAATGTGTGTGCTGTTCTAACGTGGAATGTGTGTGCTGTTATAACGTGAAATGTGTGTGCTGTTATAACGTGGAATGCGCTGTTATAACGTGGAATGTGCTGTTATAACGTGGAATGTGTGTGCTGTTATAACGTGGAATGTGTGTGCTGTTATAACGTGGAATGTGTGTGCTGTTATAACGTGGAATGTGTGTGCTGTTATAACGTGGAATGTGTGTGCTGTTATAACGTGGAATGTGTGTGCTGTTATAACGTGGAATGTGTGTGCTGTTATAACGTGAAATGTGTGTGCTGTTATAACGTGGAATGCGCTGTTATAACGTGGAATGTGTGTGCTGTTATAACGTGGAATGTGTGTGCTGTTATAACGTGGAATGTGTGTGCTGTTATAACGTGGAATGTGTGTGCTGTTATAACGTGGAATGTGTGTGCTGTTATAACGTGGAATGTGTGTGCTGTTATAACGTGGAATGCGCTGTTATAACGTGGAATGCGTGTGCTGTTATAACGTGGAATGTGTGTGCTGTTATAACGTGGAATGTGCTGTTATAACGTGGAATGTGCTGTTATAACATGGAATGCGTGTGCTGTTATAACGTGGAATGTGTGCCGTTATAACGTGGAATGTGTGTGCTGTTATAACGTGGAATGTGTGTGCTGTTATAACGTGAAATGTGTGTGCTGTTATAACGTGGAATGTGTGTGCTGTTATAACGTGAAATGTGTGTGCTATTATAACGTGGAATGTGTGTGCTGTTATAACGTGGAATGTGTGTGCTGTTATAACGTGGAATGTGTGTGCTGTTATAACGTGAAATGTGTGTGCTGTTATAACGTGGAATGTGTGTGCTGTTATAACGTGGAATGTGTGTGCTGTTATAACGTGGAATGTGTGTGCTGTTATAACGTGGAACACGTGTGCTGTTATAACGTGGAACACGTGTGTGCTGTTATAACGTGGAACACGTGTGTGCTGTTATAACGTGGAACACGTGTGCCGTTCTAACGTGCAGCGCGAGTGCCGTTAGAACACCGTGGCACCATGACAGACTCACAAATCAAAGGAAAGGGAAGACAATTTACGAAGTAAACTGGTTGCCAGGCAACCCCGTGTTGCCTGGCAACCCCGTGTTGCCAGGCAACCCCGTGTTGCCAGGCAACCCCGTGTTGCCAGGCAACCCCGTGTTGCCAGGCAACCCCGTGTTGCCAGGCAACCCCGTGTTGCCAGGCAACCGTACCGCGGGCTCCCATCCCAGCAGCTTGCGAGCTTTTTGGATGTCCGGATTGCGTCTCTGAGGGTCGTCCTGGGCCTCGGGAAGGTTCACGATGGGGCTGGAACTCCCTGCGATGACAATCATCATCGTCGTCATCATCGTCATCATCATCATCATTGTCATCATCGTCATCATCATGATCATCATCATGATCATCATCGTCATTGGCAAAATCATCAGCATCACCACTGTCGTGATTATCAGCAACACCAGCGTTATCACCATGATCATCAGCATTATTAGCATCATCATTATTATCAATCATCATCACCATTATCAATCATCAGCATTACCATCATCATCATCATCACCATTATAATCATCAGCAGCAGCATTATCATCATTATCAGCATCACCATTCATTATCATCATCAGCATCATCACTGCCGTGATTATCAGGGTTATCACCATGATCATCAGCATTATTAGCATCATCATTATTATCAATCATCATCACCATTATCAATCATCAGCATTATCATCATCATCACCATTATAATTATCAGCAGCAGCATTATCATCATTATCAGCATCACCATTATCATCATCATTATCATCATCACTGTCGTGATTATCAGCGTTATCACCATGATCATCAGCATTATTAGCATCATCATTATTTTCAATCATCATCACCATTATCAATCATCAGCATTATCATCATCACCATTATAATCATCAGCAGCAGCATTATCATTATTATCAGCATCACCATTATCATCATCATCATTATCATCATCAGCATAATCATGAGTATCATTGTCACGATCATCGTCGCGAGTATCATCGTCACGAGTATCATCATCATCGTCGTCGTCGTGGTGACGAGGAGTAGGAGGAGGAGCACTAACCCACAAGGCTCTTGATGATGCGGGCAAACTCCATGATGGAATGCTCCTCAGGGTTGCCCTGTGCACGGCAGGCGGACACTGAGCATCAGCAGGGCAGCGCACTGGCTCACGGTGTGAGAGTGTGCCAGGGTGGGTGGGGGGTGGGTGATGGGTGAGAGTGGGTGGGTGAGTGTGGGTGAGTGAGAGTGTGTGGGTGTGTGGGTGAGAGTGGGTGGGTGGGTGAGTGAGTGAGTGTGGGTGAGTGAGAGTGGGTGAGTGAGTGAGTGAGAGTGGGTGAGTGAGAGTGGGTGAGTGAGTGAGAGTGGGTGGGTGAGTGAGAGTGGGTGAGTGAGTGAGTGAGAGTGGGTGTGTGAGTGTGTGGGTGAGAGTGGGTGGGTGGGTGAGTGAGTGAGTGAGAGTGGGTGAGTGAGAGTGGGTGGGTGAGTGAGGGTGGGTGTGTGGGTGAGTGATTGAGGGTGAGTGTGTGGGTGAGTGAGAGTGGGTGGGTGAGTAAGTGAGTGTGGATGAGTGGGTGAGTGTGGATGAGTGTGTGAGTGAGTGAGAGTGGGTGAGTGAGTGAGAGTGGGTGTGTGGGTGAGTGATTGAGGGTGTGTGGGTGAGTGAGTGAGTGAGAGTGTGTGGGTGAGAGTGGGTGAGAGTGTGTGGGTGAGAGTGGGTGGGTGAGTGAGAGTGGGTGGGTGAGTGAGAGTGGGTGGGTGAGTGAGTGAGAGTGGGTGAGTGATTGAGAGTGGGTGAGTGAGTGAGAGTGGGTGGGTGAGTGAGTGAGTGAGAGTGGGTGGGTGAGTGAGTGAGTGAGAGTGGGTGGGTGAGTGATTGAGAGTGGGTGGGTGAGTGAGAGTGGGTGGGTGAGTGAGTGAGAGTGGGTGGGTGAGTGAGTGAGAGTGGGTGGGTGAGTGATTGAGAGTGGGTGGGTGAGAGTGGGTGAGTGAGTGAGAGGGGTGGGTGAGTGAGTGAGGGAGGGTGTGTGGGTGAGTGAGTGAGGGTGTGTGGGTGAGTGAGTGAGAGTGGGTGAGTGAGTGAGTGTGTGTGGGTGAGAGTGGGTGAGAGTGTGTGGGTGAGAGTGGGTGGGTGAGTGAGAGTGGGTGGGTGAGTGAGAGTGAGTGGGTGAGTGAGTGAGAGTGGGTGAGTGATTAAGAGTGGGTGAGTGAGTGAGTGAGAGTGGGTGGGTGAGTGAGTGAGTGAGAGTGGGTGGGTGAGTGAGTGAGTGAGAGTGGGTGGGTGAGTGATTGAGAGTGGGTGGGTGAGTGAGAGTGGGTGGGTGAGTGAGTGAGTGAGAGTGGGTGGGTGAGTGAGTGAGTGAGAGTGGGTGGGTGAGTGATTGAGAGTGGGTGGGTGAGTGAGAGTGGGTGAGTGAGTGAGTGAGAGTGGGTGGGTGAGTGAGTGAGGGTGTGTGGGTGAGTGAGTGAGGGTGTGTGGGTGAGTGAGTGAGAGTGGGTGAGTGAGTGAGTGAGAGTGGGTGGGTGAGTGAGAGTGGGTGGGTGTGGATGAGTGTGTGGGTGAGAGTGGGTGAGTGTGTGAGTGATTGAGGGTGAGTGTGGATGAGTGTGTGGGCGAGTGAGAGTGGGTGAGTGTGGATGAGTGTGTGGGTGAGAGTGGGTGAGTGAGTGAGTGAGAATGGGTGAGTGAGAGTGGGCGAGTATGTGGGTAAGAGTTTGTGAGTAAGTGAGAGTGGGTGAGTGAGAGTGGGTGTGTGCGGGTGAGTGGGTGTGGGTGGGTGTGTGGGTGAGTGTGTGGGTGAGAGTGGATGAGTGTGTGGGTGAGAGTGGGTGAGTGAGTGAGAGTGGGTGAGTGAGTGAGTCATTGAGTGAGAGTGGGTGAGTGAGTGAGAGTGGGTGAGTGAGTGAGTGAGAGTGAGTGAGTGAGAGTGGGTGGGTGAGTGAGTGAGAGTGGGTGAGTGAGTGAGTGAGAGTGGGTGGGTGAGTGAGTGAGAGTGGGTGAGTGAGTGAGTGAGAGTGGGTGGGTGAGTGAGTGAGAGTGGGTGAGTGAGTGAGTGTGGGTGAGTGAGTGAGTGAGAGTGGGTAAGTGAGTGAGTGAGAGTGGGTGAGTGAGAGTGGGCGAGTATGTGGGTAAGAGTGGGTCAGTGAGTGAGGGTGTGTGGGTGGGTAAGAGTGTGTGAGTGAGTGAGAGTGGGTGGGTGAGAGTGGGTGAGTGAGAGTGGGTGGGTGTGTGGGTGAGTGAGTGAGTGGGGGAGTGAGTGTGCATGAGAGTGAGTGTGCATGAGAGTGAGTGGGTGAGTGGGAGGGTGGGTGAGTGGGTGGGTGGGTGGGTGAGTGGGTCGGTGGGTGGGTGGGTAAGTGGGTGGGTGGGTGGGTGAGTGGGTGGGTGGGTGGGTGAGTGGGTGAGTGGGTGAGTGGGTGGGTGGGTGGGTGAGTGGGTGAGTGGGTGAGTGGGGGAGTGAGTGGGGGGGTGAGTGGGTGAATGAGAGTGGGTGGGTGGATGAGTGAGTGGGGGAGTGAGTGTGCGTGAGAGTGAGTGGGTGAGTGGGTGGGTGACTGGGTGAGTGGGTGGGTGACTGGGTGAGTGAGTGAGTGTGCGTGAGAGTGAGTGGGTGAGTGGGTGGGTGAGTGGGTGAGTGGGTGAGTGAGTGGGTGGGTGGGTGAGTGGGTGGGTGGGTGAGTGAGTGGGTGAGTGGGTGAGTGGGTGAGTGAGTGAGTGGGTGGGTGAGTGGGTGGGTGGGTGAGTGAGTGGGTGGGTGAGTGAGTGAGTGAGTGGGTGAGTGGGTGAGTGAGTGAGTGAGTGGGTGGGTGGGTGAGTGGGTGAGTGAGTGAGTGGGTGAGTGGGTGAGTGGGTGGGTGGGTGAGTGGGTGGGTGAGTGGGTGAGTGAGTGAGTGTGCATGAGAGTGAGTGGGTGAGTGGGTGAGTGAGTGGGTGAGTGCGTGACTGGGTGGGTGAGTGGGTGAGTGAGTGAGTGTGCATGAGAGTGGGTGGGTGAGTGGGTGAGTAAGTGAGTGTGCGTGACAGTGAGTGGGTGAGTGGGTGAGTGAGTGGGTGAGTGGGTGAGTGGGTGAGTGAGTGAGTGTGCGTGAGAGTGAGTGGGTGAGTGGGTGACTGGGTGGGTGAGTGCGAGTCTTGAGACTGGGTGAGTGAACGTGCGGTCCCGTACCAGGTTCACGGGGCTGCTCACGTTGCTGTTCATCAGTGACACCAGGCCGTTCACCAGGTCACTGCCGAGACAAAGACCCCCCGTGTAGCCTTAACAGACTGTAGGGGCAAGTGCCGTGAGCGAGTAGCAGCACCTACGAAGGCTACCGGCACTGTGGCAGACGAGGGGGTGGGTGGGTGGCCAGCACCGCGCCCGCCCGGCCGCCTTTGTCTCCCCCAGTGCTGATACTTCGGGACCTGGAGTGTTTGCGGTGCGGTGTGGTGTGTGTTTTGGGGGAGCGGTGGCGCAGCGGTTAGCGCTACGCTGACGCTACGAACCCGGCGACCCGGGTTCGATTCCCGCTGACGGCCAACACCACCAGTGACGATTGTCCGAACCGGTCCTGGGCCTCCCCCTAGGTCGACTCGGCCTCAAACTAGTACCTGGTGGAGCGGTGTGTAGTAAACATCGCCACTGGGGAGACAAAGGCGGCCGGGCGTGGTGCTTGGCCACCCACCCCCCTCGTGTGCCACGGTGCCGGTAGCCTTCAAAGGTGCCGCTCACTGCTCACAGCACTTGCCCCCAACAGTCTGTTAGAGGCTACACGGGGGACCTTTGTCTTTGTGTGTGTGACGGTCGGAAAACTGAACTCACCTGACGTACTGGAATGACCTTGTTTGACCCCCAGTGCCGTACACCTAGGAGACAACACCAAACACCAACAACAACAAACAACGAGGTGATGATAATGGCGGTGGTGATGGTGGTGACGGAGGTAATGATAATAGCGGTGGTGATACCGGTGGTGGTGATAATGGTGGTGGTGACGGAGGTGATGATAATAGTGGTGGTGGTGGTGGTTACGGTGGTGGTGATAATGGTGGTGGTGTCGGCGGTGGTGGTGGTGATGATAATAGTGGTGGTGATGATAATAGTGGTGGTGATGATAATAGTGGTGGTGATGATAATAGTGGTGGTGATGATAAGTGGTGGTGGTGATGGTGGTGGTGATGGTGGTGGTGATGGTGACGATGATGATTATAACGGTGGTGGTGGTGGTGGTGTTGGTGTTAGCGATGGTGGTGACTGTGATGATGATAACGGTGGTGGTAGTGGTGGTGATCGCGATGGCGGCGGCGGCGGTGGTGGTGACGGTGATGATGATAACGGTGGTGGTGGTGACGGTGATGATGATAACGGTGGTGGTGGTGACGGTGATGATGATAACGGTGGTGGTGGTGACGGAGAGCTCCCACCGTGAGTGGCTCGGTCTGCAGCGCCTGCAGGATGAAGTTGCTGACGACACGTCCGTCGTTCATGTGCATGCGTGGCCCAAACGTGTTGAAGATCCGCGCAACACGCACCTCCACGCCCTCCTGCGGACACGCAGACACGCGTGGACACACACACGGACACACACACACACACGGCCGCATGGACACACACACACACAAACACATGGACACACACGGACACACACGCGCGCACACACGGACACACACACACGGACACACACACACGTGCACACGGACACACACAGAGACGGACACGCACGCACGGACACACACACACGGACACACACACGTGACACACGGACACACAGATACACACACGTGACACACGGACACACAGATACACACACGTGACACACGGCTCGTGGAGCCATGGTGCTGGTGGTGGCGACGGCTGAAGTGCTGACGAAGATGATGGTGGTGACGGAGGTGATGTTGGCGGTGGTGACGGAGGTGATGATAGTGGTGTTGGCGGTGGTGACGGAGGTGATGATAGTGTTGGTGGTGGTGGTGACGGAGGTGATGATAGCGGTGTTGGTGGTGACGGAGGTGATGATAGTGGTGTTGGTGGTGGTGACGAAGGTGATGATAGTGGTGGTGGTGGTGGTGACGAAGGTGATGATAGTGGTGGCGGTGGTGACGGAGGTGGTGACGGAGGTGATGACAGTGGTGTTGGTGACGGAGGTGATGATAGTGTTGGTGGTGGTGGTGACGGAGGTGATGATAGTGTTGGTGGTGGTGGTGACGGAGGTGATGATAGCGGTGTTGGTGGTGACGGAGGTGATGATAGTGGTGTTGGTGGTGGTGACGAAGGTGATGATAGTGGTGGTGGTGGTGGTGACGAAGGTGATGATAGTGGTGGCGGTGGTGACGGAGGTGGTGACGGAGGTGATGACAGTGGTGTTGGTGACGGAGGTGATGATAGTGTTGGTGGTGGTGGTGACGGAGGTGATGATAGTGGTGGCGGTGGTGACGGAGGTGATGATAGTGGTGTTGGTGGTGGTGACGGAGGTGATGATAGTGGTGGTGGCAGTGGTGACGGAGGTGATGATAGTGGTGTTGGCGGTGGTGACGGAGGTGATGATAGTGGTGTTGGCGGTGGTGACGGAGGTGATGATAGTGTTGGTGGTGGTGGTGACGGAGGTGATGATAGTGGTGTTGGTGGTGACGGAGGTGATGATAGTGGTGTTGGTGGTGACGGAGGTGATGATAGTGGTGTTGGTGGTGGTGACGAAGGTGATGATAGTGGTGGTGGTGGTGACGAAGGTGATGATAGTGGTGGAGGTGGTGACGGAGGTGATGATAGTGGTGTTGGTGGTGGTGACGGAGGTGATGATAGTGGTGTTGGTGACGGAGGTGATGATAGTGGTGGTGGCAGTGGTGACGGAGGTGATGATAGTGGTGTTGGTGGTGGTGACGGAGGTGATGATAGTGGTGTTGGCGGTGGTGACGGAGGTGATGATAGTGGTGTTGGTGACGGAGGTGATGATAGTGGTGGCGGTGGTGACGGAGGTGATGATAGTGGTGGCGGTGGTGACGGAGGTGATGATAGTGGTGTTGGTGTTGGTGTCAAAGGTGATGATAGTGGTGGTGGCGGTGGTGACGGAGGTGATGATAGTGGTGTTGGTGTTGGTGACGAAGGTGATGATAGTGGTGGTGGCGGTGGTGACGGAGGTGATGATAGTGGTGTTGGCGGTGGTGACGGAGGTGATGATAGTGGTGTTGGTGACGGAGGTGATGATAGTGGTGGCGGTGGTGACGGAGGTGATGATAGTGGTGTTGGTGGTGGTGACGGAGGTGATGATAGTGGTGTTGGTGTTGGTGACGAAGGTGATGATAGTGGTGGTGGTGGTGGTGACGGAGGTGATGATAGTGGTGTTGGTGTTGGTGACGGAGGTGATGATAGTGACGGTGGTGGTGGTGACGGTGGACGCGATGACGATGCTGCTGCTGTTGGCGGTAACGACGGTGACGACCGCGACAGTGACGACGATGACAACGGTGAAGACGATGACAACCACGCCGGTGATGACGATGACGACAACCACGCCGGTGATGACGACGATGACAACCACGCCGGTGATGACAACCACGCCGGTGATGACGACGACGACAACCACGCCGGTGATGACGACGATGACAACCGCGCCGGTGATGCCGACGATGACAACCACACCGGTGATGACGACGACGACAACCACGCCGGTGATGACGACGATGACAACCACGCCGGTGATGACGACGATGACAACCACGCCGGTGATGACGACGATGACAACCACGCCGGTGATGACGACGATGACAACCGCGCCGGTGATGACGACGACGACAACCACGCCGGTGACGACGACGATGACAACCACGCCGGTGATGACGACGACGACAACCACGCCGGTGATGACGACGACGACAACCGCGCCGGTGACGACGACGATGACAACCACGCCGGTGATGACGATGACAACCACGCCGGTGATGACGACGATGACAACCACGCCGGTGATGACGATGACGACAACCACGCCGGTGATGACGACGATGACAACCACGCCGGTGATGACGATGACGACAACCACGCCGGTGATGACGACGATGACAACCACGCCGATGATGACGACGATGACAACCACGCCGGTGACGACCGCGACGACAACCACGCCGGTGATGACGACGATGACAACCACGCCGGTGATGACGACGATGACAACCACGCCGATGATGACGACGATGACAACCACGCCGGTGACGACCGCGACGACAACCACGCCGGTGATGACGACGATGACAACCACGCCGGTGATGACGACGATGACAACCACGCCGGTGATGACGTCAATGACAACCACGCCGGTGATGACGACGATGACAACCACGCCGGTGATGACGACGATGACAACCACGCCGGTGATGACGACGATGACAACCACGCCGGTGATGACTACGATGACAACCACGCCGGTGATGACGACGATGACAACCACGCCGGTGATGACGACGATGACAACCACGCCGGTGATGACGACGATGACAACCACGCCGGTGATGACGACGATGACAACCACGCCGGTGACGACGACGATGACAACCACGCCGGTGATGACGACGATGACAACCACGCCGGTGATGACGACGATGACAACCACGCCGGTGACGACCGCGACGACAACCACGCCGGTGATGACGACGATGACAACCACGCCGATGATGACGACGATGACAACCACGCCGGTGACGACCGCGACGACAACCACGCCGGTGATGACGACGATGACAACCACGCCGGTGATGACGACGATGACAACCACGCCGGTGATGACGATGACAACCACGCCGGTGATGACGACGATGACAACCACGCCGGTGATGACGACGATGACAACCACGCCGATGATGACGACGATGACAACCACGCCGGTGATGACGACGATGACAACCACGCCGGTGATGACGACGATGACAACCACGCCGGTGACGACCGCGACGACAACCACGCCGGTGATGACGACGATGACAACCACGCCGGTGATGACGACGATGACAACCACGCCGATGATGACGATGACGACAACCACGCCGGTGATGACGACGATGACAACCACGCCGGTGATGACGACGATGACAACCACGCCGGTGACGACGACGATGACAACCACGCCGGTGACGACGACGACGACAACCACGCCGGTGATGACGACGATGACAACCACGCCGGTGATGACGACGATGACAACCACGCCGGTGATGACGACGATGACAACCACGCCGGTGATGACGACGATGACAACCACGCCGGTGATGACGACGATGACAACCACGCCGGTGACGACGACGACGACAACCACGCCGGTGACGACGACGATGACAACCACGCCGGTGATGACGACGACGACAACCACGCCGGTGACGACCGCGACGCCGGTGACACCCCCACCGACGACCACGGCCGTCGCCGCCATGACCGTGAGGTCACCGACGGAGCAGGCACCTGCTTCTGGTAGGCGTAGCACATGGTCTCCGCCACACGCTTGCCCTCGTCATAGCAGGCCCGAGGCCCGATGGGGTTCACGTGGCCCCAGTAAGACTCCCCCTGCGGGTGCTCCTCCGGGTCTGTCGCAGCAGCAGCAGCAGCAGCAGATATATGTGGGTGAGCGTGTGGGCGAGCGTGTGGGCGAGCGTGTGGGCAAGCGTGTGTGTGTGTGTGGGCGAGCGTGTGTGTGAGCGTGTGGGCGAGCGTGCATGTGTGTGGGCGAGCGTGTGTGTGTGGGCGAGCGTGTGTGTGGGCGAGCGTGTGTGTGGGCGTGTGGGCGAGCGTGTGTGTGTGTGTGTGGGCGAGCGTGTGTGTGTGTGTGTGGGCGAGCGTGTGTGTGTGTGTGTGGGCGAGCGTGTGTGTGGGCGAGCGAGCGTGTGTGTGTGTTGTGTGTGTGTGTGTGGGCGAGCGTGTGTGTGTGGGCGAGGGTGCGTGTGCGTGTGTGCGTGTGCGTGTGAGGGTGCGTGTGTGTGTAGGCGAGCGTGTGCTTGTGTGCGAGGGAGCGTGTGTGTGTGTGGGCGAGTGTGCGTGTGCGTGTGTGGGCGTTTGTGTACGTGTGCGTGTGTGGGCGAGGGTGCGTGTGCATGTGTGCGTGTGTGCGTGTGCGTGTGTGCGTGTGCGTGTGAGGGTGCGTGTGTGTGCGAGGGAGCGTGTGTGTGCGAGGGTGCGTGTGTGTGTGTGTGGGCGAGCGTGTGTGTGTGTGGGAGAGCGTGTACGTGTGTGGGCGAGCGTGTGTGTGCGTGTGTGTGTGTGTGAGTGCGAGCGTGTGTGTGTGTGTGTGCGTGTGTGTGTGCGTGTGTGTGTGCGTGTGTGTGTGTGAGTGCGAGCGTGTGTGTGTGCGTGTGTGAGTGCGAGGGTGTGTGTGTGCGTGTGTGAGTGCGAGCGTGTGTGCGTGTGTGTGTGCGTGTGTGTGTGTGAGTGCGAGCGTGTGTGTGTGCGCGTGTGAGTGCGAGCGTGTGTGCGTGTGTGCGTGTGAGTGCGAGCGTGTGTGCGTGTGTGCGTGTGTGCGTGTGTGCGTGTGTGTGTGTGAGTGCGAGCGTGTGTGTGTGCGCGTGTGAGTGCGAGCGTGTGTGTGTGCGCGTGTGAGTGCGAGCGTGTGTGCGTGTGTGCGTGTGAGTGCGAGCGTGTGTGCGTGTGTGCGTGTGTGTGTGTGTGCGTGTGTGCGTGTGTGTGAGTGCGAGCGTGTGTGCGTGTGTGCGTGTGAGTGCGAGCGTGTGTGTGGGCGTGTGTATGTGTGTACGTGTGTGTGTGTGCGTGTGTGCGTGTGAGTGCGAGCGTGTGTGTGGGCGAGCGTGTGTGTGTGTGGGCGTGTGTATGTGTGTGTGTGTACGTGTGTGTGTGTGCGAGCGCGTGCGTGTGTGTGTGCGTGTGTGTGTGTGTGCGAGGGTGCCCATCGATCCTCTCACCGCCATAGACCTCTGACGTGGAGGCCAGAAGCAAGCGCGCTCCAACTCGCTTGGCCAGGCCTGGAGCCACACACGGGGGGGGGGGGGGGGGGGGGGGGGGGGGGGGCGATCCGTCAGGTGGGAGGAAAGAGGTGGAAAGAGGGAGGGAGTGAAGTAGAGGGATGAGGAGGAGAGGGAGGGAGGGGAGGGAGTGAAGAGGTGGAGGGGAGTGGAGGGAGCGGGTGAGACTTGCCCAGCATGTTGAGCGTGCCGATGGTGTTGGTCTTGAGCGTCTTGATGGGGTTGTACATGTAGTTGGGGGGTGACGCGGGCGACGCCAGGTGGTAGATCTGGTCCACTGCAGGGCGACAACACCGGGAGACAAGCGGAGGGCAAAGCTCCACACCCAGACACCCGCGAAGCGCCGATAGCCGCCCAGCGTCACGCTCACCACGACCCACTCACCCCGTCACACTCACCCCGTCACACTCACCCCGTCACACTCACCCCGTCACACTCACCCTGTCACACTCACCCTGTCACGCTCACCCTGTCACGCTCACCCCGACCTGCTCACCCTGTCACGCTCACCCTGTGACGCTCACCCTGTCACGCTCACCCCGACCCGCTCACCCTGTCACGCTCACCCTGTCACACTCACCCTGTCACGCTCACCCCGACCCGCTCACCCTGTCACGCTCACCCTGTCACACTCACCCTGTCACGCTCACCCCGACCCGCTCACCCTGTCACGCTCACCCTGTCACACTCACCCCGTCACATTCACCCTGTCACGCTCACCCTGTCACACTCACCCTGTCACACTCACCCTGTCACACTCACCCCGTCACGGGCGTCACGCTCACCCCGTCACGCTCACCCTGTCACGCTCACCCCGTCACACTCACCCCGTCACACTCACCCTGTCACACTCACCCTGTCACGCTCACCCCGTCACACTCACCCCGTCACGCTCACCCCGTCACGCTCACCCTGTCACACTCATCCTATCACGGGCGTCACGCTCACCCCGACACGCTCACCCCGACACGCTCACCCTGTCACGCTCACCCCGTCACGCTCACCCTGTCACACTCACCCCGTCACACTCACCCCGTCACACTTACCCCGTCACACTCACCCCGTCACGCTCACCCCGTCACGCTCACCCCGTCACACTCACCCTGTCACACTCACCCTGTCACGCTCACCCTGTCACGCTCACCCCATCACACTCACCCCGTCACACTCACCACGACCCGCTCACCCCGTCACACTCACCCTGTCACACTCACCCTGTCACACTTACCCTGTCACACTCACCCTGTCACACTCACCCTGTCACACTTACCCTGTCACACTCACCCTGTCACGCTCACCCCGTCACGCTCACCCCGTCACACTCACCCCGTCACACTCACCCCGTCACGCTCACCCTGTCACACTCACCCTGTCACACTCACCCTGTCACACTCACCCCGTCACGCTCACCCTGTCACACTCACCCTGTCACGTTCACCCTGTCACACTCACCCCGTCACACTCACCCCATCACACTCACCCCATCACACTCACCACGACCCGCTCACCCTGTCACGCTCACCCTGTCACGCTCACCCTGTCACACTCACCCCGTCACACTCACCCCGTCACACTCACCCCGTCACACTCACCCTGTCACACTCACCACGACCCGCTCACCCCGTCACACTCACCCTGTCACACTCACCCTGTCACACTCACCCTGTCACACTCACCCCGTCACGCTCACCACGACCCGCTCACCCCGTCACACTCACCCTGTCACGCTCACCCTGTCACACTCACCCCGTCACGCTCACCCTGTCACGCTCACCCTATCACACTCACCCTGTCACGAGCGTCACGCTCAAACCGTCACACTCACCCTGTCACGCTCACCCCGTCCCGCTCACCCTGTCACGAGCGTCACGCTCACCCAGTCACACTCACCCTGTCACGCTCACCCCGTCCCGCTCACCCTGTCACACTCACCCTGTCACACTTACCCTGTCACGCTCACCCTGTCACGCTCACCCCGTCCCGCTCACCCTGTCACGCTCACCCTGTCACGCTCACCCCGTCACGCTCACCCCGTCCCACTCACCCCGTCACACTCACCCTGTCACACTCACCCCGTCACACTCACCCCGTCACACTCACCCTGTCACGCTCACCCTGTCACGCTCACCCTGTCACGCTCACCCCGTCACGCTCACCCCGTCACACTCACCCTGTCACACTCACCCTGTCACGCTCACCCCGTCACGCTCACCCTGTCACACTCACCCTGTCACACTCACCCTGTCACACTCACCCCGTCACACTCACCCCGTCACACTCACCCCGTCACGCTCACCCTGTCACGCTCACCCTGTCACGCTCACCCCGTCACGCTCACCCTGTCACACTCACCCTGTCACACTCACCCTGTCACACTCACCCCGTCACACTCACCCCGTCACACTCACCCCGTCACGCTCACCCTGTCACGCTCACCCTGTCACGCTCACCCTGTCACACTCACCCTGTCACGCTCACCCTGTCACGCTCACCCTGTCACACTCACCCTGTCACACTCACCCCGTCACACTCACCCTGTCACGCTCACCCTGTCACACTCACCCCGTCACACTCACCCCGTCACACTCACCCCGTCACGCTCACCCTGTCACGCTCACCCTGTCACGCTCACCCTGTCACACTCACCCTGTCACGCTCACCCCGTCACGCTCACCCCGTCACGCTCACCCCGTCACGCTCACCCCGTCCCGCTCACCCCGTCCCGCTCACCCCCTCGCCCCCAGCCGCCGGCTCACCCTCGACATAGAGCGGCTCCACAACGTCGTGGTTGATGAGCTCGAAGTTCTCGTGGCCCAGCCAGTGTTCCACGTTGCGCTTGCGCCCCGTGAAGAAGTTGTCGATGACGGTCACCTCGTGGCCGTCCATCATCAGCTTGTCCGCCAGGTGGGAGCCAACGAAGCCGGCGCCACCAGTCACCTGTGGGGTGAGGGGGAAGGTGGTGAACTTCTTTCACACCGTACGTAGTGCTACATGTGTGTGTTAAACTTCTATCACACCGTACGTAGTGCTACATGTGTGTGTGTTAAACTTCTATCGCACCGTACTTAGCCAACCGTTGTGTGTGTGTTAACTTCTTTCACACCGTACGTAGCCAACCACGCTGTGTGTGTGTTGAACTTCTTTCACACCGTACGTAGCCAACCACGCTGTGTGTGTGTTAAACTTCTATCACACCGTACGTAGTGCTACATGTGTGTGTGTTAAACTTCTATCGCACCGTACGTAGCCAACCACGCTGTGTGTGTGTTAAACTTCTATCACACCGTACGTAGCCAACCACGCTGTGTGTGTGTTAAACTTCTTTCACACCGTACGTAGTGCTACATGTGTGTGTTAAACTTCTATCACACCGTACGTAGTGCTACATGTGTGTGTGTTAAACTTCTATCGCACCGTACTTAGCCAACCGTTGTGTGTGTGTTAACTTCTTTCACACCGTACGTAGTGCTACGTGTATAGTGTAGTGTGTTAAACTTCTATCACACCGTACGTAGCCAACCACGCTGTGTGTGTGTTAAAGTTCTTTCACACTGTACGTAGCCGACCGTGGCTAATCGCAGGTGCCAGGGGCATGATAACAGTGTCCTCGTCAGTGAGCCTGAGAGCTCAAATTCCCTTCACAAGAACACGGGGTGGTAACCCATATGGGTTGACAGGTATGTAGTGTGTAGTGTAGTGTATAGTGTAGTGTGTAGTGTAGTGTATAGTGTAGTGTATAGTGTAGTGTATAGTGTAGTGTATAGTGTAGTGTGTAGTGTATAGTGTAGTGTATAGTGTAGTGTATAGTGTAGTGTATAGTAGTGTATAGTGTAGTGTGTAGTGTAGTGTATAGTGTAGTGTATAGTGTAGTGTATAGTAGTGTATAGTAGTGTAGTGTATAGTAGTGTAGTCTATAGTAGTGTAGTGTATAGTGTAGTGTATAGTGTAGTGTATAGTGTAGTGTATAGTGTAGTGTATAGTAGTGTATAGTGTAGTGTAGTGTATTGTGTAGTGTGTTGAACTTCTTTCACACCATACGTAGCCAACCGTGCTGTGTGTTGAACTTCTTTCACACCGTACGTAGCCAACCGTGTGTTCTACGCACCAGTATTCGCTTGCGATCCTTCTCCGACAGGAACTTGACCGGAGGATACTTCTTACTGACGCTGCAACCCATCACGCACAAAAGACAAAGATCCCCCCGCCGTGTAGCCTTCGGCGGACTGTTTCGGGGGAGGGGGGGCCAAGTGCCATCAGCGAGCAGCAGCAGCAGCAGCTACAGCAGCAGCAGCAGCTACAGCAGCAGCAGCTACAGCAGCAGGAGCAGCAGCAGCAGCAGCAGCTACAGCAGCAGCAGCTACAGCTACAGCAGCAGCAGCAGCTACAGCAGCAGCAGCTACAGCTACAGCAGCAGCAGCTACAGCAGCAGCAGCTACAGCAGCAGCAGCAGCTACAGCAGCAGCAGCTGCTACAGCAGCAGCAGCTACAGCAGGAGCAGCAGCAGCAGCAACAGCTACAGCAGCAGCAGCTACAGCAGCAGCAGCAGCAGCAGCTACAGCAGCAGCAGCTACAGCTACAGCAGCAGCAGCAGCTACAGCAGCAGCTACAGCTACAGCAGCAGCAGCTACAGCAGCAGCAGCAGCTACAGCAGCAGCAGCTACAGCAGCAGCAGCAGCAGCAGGAGCAGCAGCTACAGCAGCAGCTACAGCAGCAGCAGCTACAGCAGCAGCAGCTACAGCAGCAGCTACAGCAGCAGCAGCAGCTACAGCAGCAGCAGCTACAGCAGCAGCAGCTACAGCAGCTACAGCAGCAGCAGCAGCAGCTACAGCAGCAGCAGCAGCAGCTACAGCAGCAGCAGCAGCAGCTACAGCAGCAGCAGCAGCAGCAGCTACAGCAGCAGCAGCTACAGCAGTAGCAGCTACAGCAGCAGCAGCAGCAGCTACAGCAGCAGCAGCTAAAGCAGCAGCTACAGCAGCTGCAGCAGCTACAGCAGCAGCAGCTACAGCAGCAGCTGCAGCAGCTACAGCAGCAGCAGCTACAGCAGCAGCAGCAGCTACAGCTACAGCAGCTACAGCAGCAGCAGCAGCAGCTACAGCAGCAGCTACAGCAGCAGCAGCAGCTACAGCAGCAGCAGCAGCTACAGCAGCAGCAGCAGCTACAGCAGCAGCTACAGCAGCAGCTACAGCAGCAGCAGCAGCAGCAGCTACAGCAGCAGCAGGAGCAGCTACAGCAGCAGCAGCAGCTACAGCAGCAGCAGCAGCAGCTACAGCAGCAGCAGCAGCTACAGCAGCAGCAGCAGCTACAGCAGCAGCAGCAGCTACAGCAGCAGCAGCAGCTACAGCAGCAGCTACAGCAGCAGCAGCAGCTACAGCAGCAGCTACAGCATCAGCAGCTACAGCAGCAGCTACAGCAGCAGCAGCAGCAGCTACCAAGGCCCGGCACGGTGGCGCACGAGCGGGTGGGTGGCCAGCGCCACGTCCCGGCTGCTATGTTCACCGCGCACCTCGCCAGCCGCTCCTTTGAGTCCGAGTGGACCTAGGGGAGGCCCGGGACCAGTCCCGATGGTCGTCGGCCGCGAGCGGAAATCGAACCCGCGTTTTGCCGGGGTTTCGTGGCGCCGGCATGGCGCTAACCGCTGCACCACCGCTCCCCCACCCCATCACACAAAGATCCCCGACCGGAGAGGATTTGACATTTCGTTTTTCTATTCTGCACTGCTGTCGTGTTTGTGTGTGTGGGGGGGTTTGTTTGTTGTTGTTGTCACTCACGGACCCCCGTGCCGTCTACTGGACTATGTGGGAAAATATCTTAGAGCTCCTCCTCCTCCTCCTCCACCCCCCTCTTCCTCCTCCCCCCTCCTCCTCCACCTCCTCCACCTCCTCCACCTCTCTCCTCCACCCCCCTCCCTCCCTCCCCTTACCCCCTCTTCCTCCTCCTCCCCCCTCCTCCCCTCTCCTCCTCCACCTCCTCCACCTCCTCCACCCCCCTCCCTCCCTCCCCTTACCCCCTCTTCCTCCTCCCCCCCCCCTCCTCCAACTCCCTCCACCTCCCTCCTCCACCCCCCCTCCCTCCCTCCCCTTCCTCCTCCCCCACCTCCTCCTCCACCTCCTCCAGCCCCCTCCTCCAGCCCCCTCCTCCAGCCCCCTCCCTCCTCCCCCCCTCCTCCTCCCTCCTCTACCCCCCACCCCAACCCCCTCCTCCTCCAGTCCAAACAAAGAAATCCCGATAGTGATCTCACAAATCCTCAGTGCGTGGCCCACCGACCCCTCTCCTCCCGCCGTGCCTGGAGCCCCGTTACCTCAATTCCAGATCCTTCACTTTGTCCCTCAACGGTCCGACAGCCTGGGGTGGGAGTGGGGGAAAAAACAAAACACAACACTCACCCACCCGCTCACTCGCCCACCCGCTCACTCACCCACCCGCTCACTCGCTCGCTCACTCTCGCCCACAGTCGCTCACTAACTCACCCACACTCACCCACAGTCGCTCACTAACTCACCCACGCACTCACCCACCCACTTTCACCCACACTCACACACTCACTCACCCACCCGCTCACTCACCCACCCGCTCACTCGCTCACTCACTCACTCTCGCCCACAGTCGCTCACTAACTCACCCACACTCACCCACAGTCGCTCACTAACTCACCCACGCACTCACCCACCCACTTTCACCCACACTCACACACTCACCCACCCGCTCGCTCGGCCGCTCACTCACCCACTCGCTCTACCACTCACCCACTCTCGCCCACTCTCGCCCACTAACTCACCCACGCACTCACCCACCCACTTTCACCCACACTCACACACTCACTCACCCACCCGCCCGCCCGCTCGCTCGCTCACCCGCTCACTCACTCACTCTCGCCCACAGTCGCTCACTAACTCACCCACACTCACCCACAGTCGCTCACTAACTCACCCACGCACTCACCCACCCACTTTCACCCACACTCACACACTCACCCACCCGCTCGCTCGGCCGCTCACTCACCCACTCGCTCTACCACTCACCCACTCTCGCCCACTCTCGCCCACTAACTCACCCACGCACTCACCCACCCACTTTCACCCACACTCACACACTCACTCACCCACCCGCCCGCCCGCTCGCTCGCTCACCCGCTCACTCACTCACTCTCGCCCACAGTCGCTCACTAACTCACCCACACTCACCCACAGTCGCTCACTAACTCACCCACGCACTCACCCACCCACTTTCACCCACACTCACACACTCACCCACCCGCTCGCTCAGCCGCTCACTCACCCACTCGCTCTACCACTCACCCACTCTCGCCCACTAACTCACCCACGCACTCACCCACCCACTTTCACCCACACTCACACACTCACTCACCCACCCGCCCGCCCGCTCGCTCGCTCACCCGCTCACTCACCCACTCTCGCCCACAGTCGCTCACTAACTCACCCACGCACTCACCCACCCACTTTCACCCACACTCACACATTCACTCACCCACCCGCTCACTCGCTCACTCTCGCCCACAGTCGCTCACTAACTCACCCAAACTCACCCACAGTCGCTCACTAACTCACCCACGCACTCACCCACCCACTTTCACCCACACTCACTCACCCACCCGCCCGCCCGCTCGCTCGCTCACCCGCTCACTCACCCACTCTCACCCAGTCGCTCACTAACTCACCCACGCACTCACCCACAGTCGCTCACTAACTCACCCACGCACTCACCCACAGTCGCTCACTAACTCACCCACGCACTCACCCACAGTCGCTCACTAACTCACCCACACTCACCCACAGTCGCTCACTAACTCACCCACGCACTCACCCACCCACTTTCACCCACACTCACACACTCACTCACCCACCCGCCCACCCGCTCGCTCGCTCACCCGCTCACTCACCCACTCTCGCCCACAGTCGCTCACTAACTCACCCACGCACGCACCCACCCACCTTCACCCACACTCACACACTCACCCACCCGCTCGCTCGCTCGGCCGCTCACTCACCCACTCGCTCTACCACTCACCCACTCTCGCCCACTAACTCACCCACGCACTCACCCACCCACTTTCACCCACACTCACACATTCACTCACCCACCCGCTCGCTCGCCCGCTCACTCACCCACTCGCTCTACCACTCACCCACTCTCGCCCACAGTCGCTCAATAACTCACCCACGCACTCACCCACTCACCTTCACCCAAACTCACCCACTCACTCACCCACCCGCCCGCCCGCTCGCTCGCTCACCCACTCACTCACCCACTCACTCACCCACCCGCTCACCCGCACACCCGCTCGCCCGCTCACTCACCCACTCGCTCTACCACTCACCCACTCTCGCCCACAGTCGCTCACTAACTCACCCACGCACTCACCCACCCACCCACATTCACCCACACTCACCCACCCACTCACTCGTCCACACACCCACCCACTCGCTGGCTTACCCACGCACTGACTCACCCACACACTCACTCACGTATTAACGTACTCGCTCACTCACCCGCTCATTTCATCTCTAACTCGCTCACACGTCCACTCCTTAACCTGCCCGCTTGCTCACACGGCCAATCCACTCACCCACCCACTCTCACCCACACTCGCACACTCACCCATCCACTTACTCACTCACACACCCACTTACTCACCCTCGCACGCACTCACGTATTAGCCTACTCAAAAACAAAGCTCCAACCTTGCGCACTCTTCATTAACGTACTCGCTCACCCACTCTGACCCACACTCGCATACAACCGCCGTTCGCCACTAAGTGGTGGTGATGTCACCACGGCGCTTGTGCCAGGCTAGGTGCACGCCGAGGCCACGTGAAGTGTCAAACGCCCGCCGGCAGTAGGTCACGTGGGCAAACCCCGTGACCTCCTGACTGAGATGAGTGGCCGATGCACCACCTGTGCCCCCTACTGTGCCAATTTGTTGGGTTTTAGCCGCCCGGCGCTCCGCTCGTTGTTGTGAGCGTCGCTCCTCCGCCCTCCGTTGTTGTTGTTGTTGGAGGGCGGCTGCCTCCAACTGCCCAGTAGCGTCGTTCACGAGCCTCCTCCACAGAGGCCGATCTTGACCACCGCTGGTACCGGTCATCGGCAAGTCCACTCAGCTCCACGTCCTCCTGTACCACGTCACTCCATCTCTTCTCTAGCCCGTGCCGCGCCCGTTTAGTCCCCTCTATCCCGCCGAACAAAAGCTGTTCAGCCATGCGGTGGCTGGGCATGCGGGCTACATGACCCAGCCAACGCAGCCTTGCCTGCCGGAGGAGCTCGCCGATGGGACTTTGTCCAGATCTCGCACACTCGCACACTCACCCACCCGCTCACTCACCCACACACCCACTCAAGAAAACAAAGATCTCTCCGTACAGTCTTGAACAGATTTTGGAGGGCTCTGCATCCACATCAGTGGGGTGAATCGGAGTGAATAGGAGTGAGCGGTGTGAATCAGAGTGAGTGGGGTGAATCGGAATGAGCGGGGTGAGAATCGGAGTGGATAGGAGTGAGCGGGGTGAATCGGAGCGAGCGGGGTGAGAATCGGAGTGAATCGGAAGTGAGCGGGGTGAATCTGAGTGAGCGGGGTGAGAATCGGAGTGAATCGGAGCGAGCGGGGTGAGAATCGGAGTGAATCGGAGTGAGCGGGGTGAATCTGAGTGAGCGGGGTGAGAATCGGAGTGAATAGGAGCGAGCGGGGTGAATCGGAGTGAGCGGTGTGAATCGGAGTGAGTGGGGTGAATCTGAGTGAGTGGGGTGAGAATCGGAGTGAATCTGAGTGAGCGGGGTGAGAATCGGAGTGAATAGGAGCGAGCGGGGTGAATCGGAGTGAGCGGTGTGAATCGGAGTGAGTGGGGTGAATCTGAGTGAGTGGGGTGAGAATCGGAGTGAATCGGAGTGAGCGGGGTGAATCTGAGTGAGAGGGGTGAGAATCGGAGTGAATCGGAGTGAGCGGGGTGAGAATCGGAGTGAATCGGAGTGAGCGGTGTGAATCGGAGTGAGCGGGGTGAGAATCGGAGTGAATAGGAGTGGGGTGAATCGGAGCGAGCGGGGTGAGCGGGTTGCAGCGGGGTGAATCGCCGGATCGCGAACGCGGCTAGCTCGTGATGATGTATCTGAGCGCGCGAGGTGTGGCGTGGTGTCGCAGACGGGTGGGGAGATGGGGGGGGCAGACGTTTCACAACAACGAACCTCTTCAATCTTCTCTTCAATCTTCTTCACTTGCCCCTCGTTCATGCTTCTGCGGCGATGCGAACGCACGCAGGCACACGCACGCACGCGCAACCGGTGATTAAGACGATCGTAAGCGCCATTATCGATGTAGTCAACAGCAGTGACTTAATTAATGTAAGCAACGCCTATTGATAACGCAACACGTTAAATTCCGATCGTCTGCGTTGTTAATCAATGCACATTGTTGTAGAATTTCAACCATAGACTCAGCACTGCCCATAGACTCAGCACTGCCCCATAGACTCAGCACTGCCCCATAGACTCAACACTGCCCATACACTTAACACTGCACCATAGACTCAACACTGCACCATAGACTCAGCACTGCCCATAGACTCAGCACTGCACCGTAGACTCAGCACTGCACCATAGAAACAACACTGCACCATAGACTCAACACTGCACCGTAGACTCAGCACTGCCCAAAGACTCAACACTGCACCATAGACTCAGCACTGCACCATAGACTCAGCACTGCACCATAGACTCAGCACTGCACATAGACTCAGCACTGCACCATAGACTCAACACTGCACCATAGACTCAGCACTGCACCGTAGACTCAGCACTGCACCGTAGACTCAGCACTGCCCCATAGACTCAGCACTGCCCCATAGACTCAGCACTGCCCATAGACTCAGCACTGCCCATAGACTCAGCACTGCCCATAGACTCAGCACTGCCCATAGACTCAGCACTGCACCGTAGACTCAGCACTGCACCATAGACTCAACACTGCACCGTAGACTCAGCACTGCCCAAAGACTCAACACTGCACCATAGACTCAGCACTGCACCATAGACTCAGCACTGCACATAGACTCAGCACTGCCCATAGACTCAGCACTGCCCCATAGACTCAGCACTGCCCATAGACTCAGGACTGCACCGTAGACTCAGCACTGCACCATAGACTCAGCACTGCACCACAGACTCAGCACTGCCCCATAGACTCAGCACTGCACCATAGACTCAGCACTGCAACATAGACTCAGCACTGCCCCGTAGACTCAGCACTGCGCCATAGACTCAGCAATGCACCACAGACTCAGCAATGCACCACAGACTCAGCACTGCACCATAGACTCAGCACTGCACCATAGACTCAGCACTGCACATAGACTCAGCACTGCACATAGACTCAGCACTGCACATAGACTCAGCACTGCACATAGACTCAGCACTGCACCGTAGACTCAGCACTACACCATAGACTCAGCACTACACCATAGACTCAGCACTGCACCGTAGACTCAGAACTGCACCGTAGACTCAGCACTGCACCGTAGACTCAACAATGCACTATAGACTCAGCACTGCACCACAGACTCAGCACTGAACATAGACTCAGCACTGCACCATAGACTGAACACTGCACCGTAGACTCAACACTGCACCATAGACTCAACACTGTACCATAGACTCAGCACTGCCCCATAGACTCAGCACTGCACCACAGACTCAGCACTGCACATAGACTCAGCACTGCACCATAGACTCAGCACTGCCCCATAGACTCAGCACTGCCCATAGACTCAGCACTGCCCATAGACTCAGCACTGCCCATAGACTCAGCACTGCCCATAGACTCAGCACTGCGCATAGACCCAGCACTGCCCATAAACTCAGCACTGCACCGTAGACTCAGCACTGCACCGTAGACTCAGCACTGCCCAAAGACTCAACACTGCACCATAGACTCAGCACTGCACCATAGACTCAGCACTGCACCATAGACTCAACACTGCACCATAGACTCAGCACTGCCCATAGACTCAGCACTGCACCATAGACTCAGCACTGCACCATAGACTCAGCACTGCCCCATAGACTCAGCACTGCACCATAGACTCAGCACTCCACCGTAAACTCAGCACTACACCGCAGACTCAGCACTGACCATAGACTCAGCACTGCACCATAGACTCAGCACTGCACCATAGACTCAACACTGCACCATAGACTCAGCACTGCCCAAAGACTCAACACTGCACCATAGACTCAGCACTGCACCATAGACTTAGCACTGCACCGTAGACTCAGCACTGCCCCATAGACTCAGCACTGCCCCATAGACTCAGCACTGCCCCATAGACTCAGCACTGCCCATAGACTCAGCACTGCCCGAAGACTCAGCACTGCCCATAGACTCAGCACTGCACCGTAGACTCAGCACTGCAACATAGACTCAACACTGCACCGCAGACTAAGCACTGCCCAAAGACTCAACACTGCACCATAGACTAAGCACTGCACCATAGACTCAGCACTGCACCATAGACTCAGCACTGCACCGTAGACTCAGCACTGCCCATAGACTCAGCACTGCCCATAGACTCAGCACTGCCCATAGACTCAGCACGGCCCATAGACTCAGCACTGCCCCGTAGACTCAGCACTGCCCCGTAGACTCAGCACTGCCCCATAGACTCAGCACTGCACCATAGACTCAGCACTGCCCCACAGACTCAACACTGCACCATAGACTCAGCACTGCACCATAGACTCAGCACTGCACCACAGACTCAGCACTGCACCATAGACTCAGCACTGCACCATAGACTTAGCACTGCACCATAGACTCAGCACTGCACCATAGACTCAGCACTGCACCACAGACTCAGCACTGCCCCATAGACTCAGCACTGCCCCATAGACTCAGAACTGCACCATAGACTCAACACTGCCCATAGACTCAACACTGCACCATAGACTCAACACTGCACCATAGACTCAGCACTGTACCATAGACTCAACACTGCACCACAGACTCAACACTGCACCACAGACTCAACACTGCATCACAGACTCAGCACTGCACCGTAGACTCAGCACTGCACCGTAGACTCAGCACTGCACCACAGACTCAGCACTGCACCACAGACTCAGCACTGCCCCATAGACTCAGCACTGCACCATAGACTCAGCACTGCCCATAGACTCAGCACTGCACCATAGACTCAGCACTGCCCCATAGACTCAGCACTGCCCCATAGACTCAGCACTGCACCATAGACTCAGCACTGCCCCATAGACTCAGCACTGCACCATAGACTCAGCACTGCCCCATAGACTCAGCACTGCCCATAGACTCATCACTGCACCATAGACTCAGCACTGCACCATAGACTCAGCACTGCCCCATAGACTCAGCACTGCACCATTGACTCAGCACTGCCCCATAGACTCAGCACTGCCCCATAGACTCAGCACTGCACCACAGACTCAGCACTGCCCCATAGACTCAGCACTGCACCATAGACTCAACACTGCACCATAGACTCAGCACTGCACCATAGACTCAGCACTGCCCCATAGACTCAGCACTGCACCGCAGACTCAACACTGCACCATAGACTCAGCACTGCACCGTAGAATCAAAACTGCCCATAGACTCAGCACTGCCCATGGACTCAGCACTGCACCACAGACTCAGCACTGCTGCATAGACTCAGCACTGCCCCATAGACTCAGCACTGCACCATAGACTCAACACTACCCATAGACTCAGCACTGCACCATAGACTCAGCACTGCCCATAGACTCAGCACTGCCCATAGACTCAGCACTGCCCATAGACTCAGCACTGCCCATAGACTCAGCACTGCCCATAGACTCAGCACTGCCCATAGACTCAGCACTGCCCAGACTCAACACTGCCCCGTAGACTCAGCACTGCACCGTAGACTCAGCACTGCACCGTAGACTCAGCACTGCCCCATAGACTCAGCACTGCACCGTAGACTCAGCACTGCACCGTAGACTCAGCACTGCACCGTAGACTCAGCACTGCACCGTAGACTCAGCACTGCCCCATAGACTCAGCACTGCCCAAAGACTCAACACTGCACCATAGACTCAGCACTGCACCATAGACTCAGCACTGCACAATAGACTCAGCACTGCCCATAGACTCAACACTGCCCATAGACTCAACACTGCACCATAGACACAGCACTGCCCATAGAATCAGCACTGCCCATATACTCAGCACTGCCCATAGACTCAGCACTGCACCATAGACTCAACACTGCCAATAGACTCAGCACTGCACCATAGACTCAGCACTGCCCATAGACTCAACACTGCCCATAGACTCAACACTGCACCATAGACACAGCACTGCCCATAGAATCAGCACTGCACCATAGACTCAGCACTGCCCATAGACTCAGCACTGCACCATAGACTCAACACTGCCAATAGACTCAGCACTGCCCATAGACTCCGCACTGCCCATAGACTCAGCACTGCCCATAGACTCAGCACTGCACCATAGACTCAGCACTGCACCATAGACTCAGCACTGCACCATAGACTCATCACTGCACCATAGACTCAGCACTGCCCATAGACTCAACACTGCCCATAGACTCAGCACTGCCCATAGACTCAGCACTGCACCGTAGACTCAGCACTGCACCGTAGACTCAGCACTGCCCCGTAGACTCAGCACTGCCCCGTAGACTCAGCACTGCCCAAAGACTCAACACTGCACCATAGACTCAGCACTGCATCATAGACTCAGCACTGCACCATAGACTCAGCACTGCACCGTAGACTCAGCACTGCACCATAGACTCAGCACTGCCCCATAGACTCAGCACTGCCCCATAGACTCAGCACTGCCCAAAGACTCAACACTGCACCATAGACTCAGCACTGCACCATAGACTCAGCACTGCACCATAGACTCAGCACTGCCCATACACTCAACACTGCCCATAGACTCAACACTGCACCATAGACACAGCACTGCCCATAGACTCAGCACTGCCCATAGAATCAGCACTGCCCATAGACTCAGCACTGCACCATAGACTCAGCACTGCCCATACACTCAACACTGCCCATAGACTCAACACTGCACCATAGACACAGCACTGCCCATAGACTCAGCACTGCCCATAGAATCAGCACTGCCCATAGACTCAGCACTGCACCATAGACTCAGCACTACCCATAGACTCAGCACTGCACCATAGACTCAACACTGCCAATAGACTCAGCACTGCCCATAGATTCCGCACTGCCCATAGACTCAGCACTGCCCATAGACTCAGCACTGCACCATAGACTCAGCACTGCACCATAGACTCAGCACAGCACCATAGACTCAGCACTGCCCATAGACTCAACACTGCCCATAGACTCAGCACTGCCCCATAGACTCAGCACTGCACCGTAGACTCAGCACTGCACCGTAGACTCAGCACTGCACCGTAGACTCAGCACTGCACCGTAGACTCAGCACTGCCCCGTAGACTCAGCACTGCCCATAGACTCAACACTGCACCGTAGACTCAGCACTGCACCGTAGACTCAGCACTGCCCCGTAGACTCAGCACTGCCCCGTAGACTCAGCACTGCCCAAAGACTCAACACTGCACCATAGACTCAGCACTGCACCATAGACTCAGCACTGCCCCATAGACTCAGCACTGCACATAGACTCAGCACTACACCGTAGACTCAGCACTGCACTATAGACTCAGCACTGCACCATAGACTCAGCACTGCACATAGACTCAGCACTGCACCGTAGACTCAGCACTGCCCCATAGACTCAGCACTGCCCATAGACTCAACACTGCCCATAGACTCAGCACTGCACCGTAGACTCAGCACTGCACCGTAGACTCAGCACTGCACCGTAGACTCAGCACTGCCCCATACTCAGCACTGCCCCATAGACTCAGCACTGCCTAAAGACTCAACACTGCACCAGACACAGCACTGCCCATAGACTCAGCACTGCCCATAGACTCAGCACTGCCCATAGACTCAGCACTGCACTATATACTCAGCACTGCACCATAGACTCAGCACTGACCATAGACTCAGCACTGCACCATAGACTCAGCACTGCCCAAAGACTCAGCACTGCACCATAGACTCAGCACTGCACCATATACTCAGCACTGCACCATAGACTCAACACTGCCCATAGACTCAGCACTGCCCATAGACTCAACACTGCCCATAGACTCAGCACTGCACCATAGACTCAGCACTGCACCATAGACTCAACACTGCCAATAGACTCAGCACTGCCCATAGACTCAGCACTGCACCATAGACTCAGCACTGCACCATAGACTCAGCACTGCCCCATACTCAGCACTGCCCCATAGACTCAGCACTGCCTAAAGACTCAACACTGCACCATAGACACAGCACTGCCCATAGACTCAGCACTGCCCATAGACTCAGCACTGCACTATAGACTCAGCACTGACCATAGACTCAGCACTGCACCATAGACTCAGCACTGCCCAAAGACTCAGCACTGCACCATAGACTCAGCACTGCACCATAGACTCAGCACTGCACCATAGACTCAGCACTGCACCATAGACTCAGCACTGCCCCATAGACTCAGCACTGCCCATAGACTCAACACTGCCCATAGACTCAGCACTGCACCATAGACTCAGCACTGCACCATAGACTCAACACTGCCAATAGACTCAGCACTGCCCATAGACTCAGCACTGCACCATAGACTCAGCACTGCCCATAGACTCAGCACTGCTCATAGACTCAGCACTGCCCATAGACTCAGCACTGCCCATAGACTCAGCACTGCACCATAGACTCAACACTGCACCATAGACTCAACACTGCACCATAGACTCAACACTGCACCATAGACTCAACACTGCACCATAGACTCAGCACTGCACCATAGACTCAACATACACACACACATAGCACAGTTGGCTACGTACGGTGCGAAAGAAGGTTCAACACACACACAGATATAGCGCGGTTGGCCACGTACGGTGCAAACCAAGTTCAACACATGTACAGACAAGAAGACGAGAGCAACACGAGAGCAACGCGAGAGCAACACGTAGCAGCCTCATGTGGCGAGGGCGTTTTCTCTGCTGGACGGGGCGCCGCGTCTCAAGCTCACCCAATAGTCGTCAGGTTGCCCCAGACGGCTGCAACACACGAAAAACAAAACGAGAGGGAGAGAGAGAAGGCACGGTTTTAGTCAAGGACAATCAAAGCAGATCACTCCTTCCCACCGCCCGCCCCCCCGCACAGCCTGCACACACCGCTGGGGCAAGCGGCGTCAGTGACCAAAGCGTGAACGCAGCGACGTATGCGTGATCGTCGCTTATCGGGGGCACCGCGCGCTTATCCGGCCGATCGCTACATTCGTCCGGCGGTCCCGGGGGCCGATCCGGCGAAACCGCTCCAAAAGGCCGCCGCAGCAGTAACCAGGTCCGGCGATCGGCACCACCGTGGATAGCGTGCGATAAAAATAAAGAGCAAAGCAGCCGCGCTAGATTTGAGCATTAAATGACGTTAAAAGGGACTCCTTCACTTCTGGCTGTCGCCTGACGCGGCTGGTTGTAATTACTGGCGAAACGACGTACTCGGGATTGTAAACGTTGTGGCTTGGCTCTCCGACACACAGGTGAGTGCGGTGCTCGTGACGAATTGGCACGTTCTGTTTACGTGATAACCTTCACTAGTTGGCTGTGCCGGGTGGCGGCGGTGGTGGTGGGTTTAACTACACAACATTTATATATTTATACGCGATCTAACCCAAAGCACCTGCATTAAGGTTGATGATATTGGTCGCGAAAGCCTGCTACATGTTCAACCCCTCTACTTACGAACGAGTTCGTGTTTCGTGTACACGCAGTACAAGATGTTTGGAATCGAAAGGAGTAAAGTTGGGAGTTATGAACAAATCGACTTATGAACAGACCTTTGTGACATAGCGCATTCGTAAGTATAGGGACTCCTATGCAGAGCCTTCGAGATTGGAGTGGTAAGTACAGGAAACGGCAAATACCGTAAAATTCTAAGGGAAGATGCCTATGTTTGTCTATTTTTCTGTTTATTTACGCGAATTTCAGATAATAAACACATTTAAAACACAAAATAACCATATATACACACATAACCATCTGAAAACATGTCATGCAATAATGTGCAAAAATCATGATGTAGTGATTATCCGGCTTTTTTTTTAAATCAGTACCCCCTCCTGCCCCTGATGCCACCGGATTAATCGGCGATCTAAAAATCAGAATCTGTATTAATACTGCAAGAGGAATCCGACGAGCTACAAAGCTCTTTGCTCACAGATGTCCCAGTCAGGGGCCACAGAGCAAGTAAGAACGTTGCAACAACACAATTACAAAAAACACACGATCGTAGCGCAAAGTGCGATAAAGGTAAACACAATCACCCAGACACAAACAACTACAGTAAAACCTTGGATTGCGAGTAACTTGGTCTGCGAGTGTTTTGCAAGACGAGCAAAATTTTTTCAAATAAATATTAATTTGATAAACGTGCGAGGATCTTGCAATACGAGTAGTGTTAACGTGTACACGCTTTGTACCGCCGAGCGTCACGTGATCACACAACCGATACGCGAGTGCTTTGATATACGAGTGCTTTGGATGACAAACACGTTTCCGGAACGAATTATGCTCGCGATCCCAAGGTTTTACGTCACTAAACAATCCCCCATCCAAACCAGGCAAAGCCCCACCGAGGCATTAAATTATTGGCCACCAAGAGTGACGGCTCAACAAAAGTGGCCACCATAAATCAATTGGACCATTTATTAGCAGTCGAAAGTAATCTCAATAATCTCAACGCGTGACTGTTGGATTCTATACGTGGAGGGGTAAACCGGAGGACCCGGAGAACAAAAATCCACGCGACCACGGGGAGAGAGAGAGAGACACGCAGACTGCAAATATACAGCAGCAGCAGGCGTCAGGGTCTAACCTACGACATCCTGTATACCAGGCGAGGTAGTTAACATCTCCTAGCCACCGTTATGATGATGAGATACGCAGACTGCAAATATACAGCAGCAGCAGGCGTCAGGGTCTAACCTACGACATCCTGTATACCAGGCGAGGTAATTCACATCTCCTAGCCACCGTGATGATGATGAGACACGCAGACTGCAAATATACAGCAGCAGCAGGCGTCAGGGTCTAACCCACAACCTCCTGTATACCAGGCGAGGTAATTCACATCTCCTAGCCACCGTGGTGATGATGATGATGAGAGAGAGACGCAGACTCCAAATATACAGCAGCAGCAGCAGGCATCGTCAGGGTCGAACCCACGACCTCCTGTATACCAGGCGAGGTAGTTAACATCTCCTAGCCAACGTTATGATGATGGTGAGAGAGACACGCAGACTCCACATATACAGCAGCAACAGGCATCAGAGTCGAACCCACGACCTCCTGTACACCAGGCGAGGTAGTTAACATCTCCTAGCCACCGTTATGATGAGAGAGAGACACGCAGATTGCAAATATACAGCAGCAGCAGGCGTCAGGGTCGAACCCACGACCTCCTGTATACCGGGCGATGTAGTTAACATCTCCTAGCCACCGTTATGATGAGAGAGACGCAGACTCCAAATATACAGCAGCAGCAGGCATCGTCAGGGTCGCGTTCGAACCCACATCCTCTTGTATAGGCGAGGTAGTTAACATCTCCTAGTCACCGTGATGATGATGAGCGAGAGAGAGACACACAAACTACAAATATACAGCAGCAGCAGCAGGCATCGTCAGGGTCGGGATGGAACCCAGACCTCCTGTATACCAGGCGAGGTAGTTAACATCTCCTAGCCACGGTGATGACAGAGAGACACGCAGACTCCACATATACAGCAGCAGCAGGCGTCAGGGTCACGATCGAACCCACGACCTCCTGTGTATTGACAAATAAACCAAAATTTGCCCGTATTGAAACGGCTGTATGGATGTGAAAACTCTTATTTCGCCGTACAAGAATACAACATGAACCCCATGGGGGGGGGAGGGGGGTTGACAACTACGCAGCTCAGTGTAACGTGCCTTATTACACCTTGCAAATAAAACTAAACACATTATAAAGGTGTTATATATGTTCGGTTTCGGTTCAAATACTCACAGACAATGTAGGCCACTAACGCTAGAAGCACCAACACCTTCATAGCCCTGTGGTGTCCAGAACAATTTAACAAATTTACCATAATCCGGACATTAAGCGCCGCGTTTGTGAGTTACACTTTGCGCGTTAAGTAATTGTCGCTCTGCGTTTGAAGTTTACGGTACGAGACCCACTCCTAAACTCTCCACCTTCACCCTCCGGGCCGCTCGCAACCCCGTAAGCCTCGGCCTACAGCGCACTTTCCTAGAAGGCCCTTACCGACCGGGGCGTCACAAAGCCGGCAGGGCCACCCCAAGCCTAGCCGACGGTGGAGGGTGGGGGGTTAGGACCGTAGCGAAAGTCTGAGGGGATTTTTTTTTGTTTAAACAGTTTTTAATTCAACAAGAGACGAGCGCCGAGAGATAACAAAGCGCCGTCCTTGGCGGTCGTAGAATGCCACTAAAGTCCGCAAAGTTTTAAATTTGCTCTAATTAATTATCGGTTATAAGCAGAGGGGAGGGGGAATTACGCGGCGTGACGTCACCCGAGTGGAGCGCGAGTCACGTGGCGCGCCCCTAATTTGCATACCATGGAGGCGGCTGGACAATGACGTCGTTGTTGGTCGAACGAGTCGATTCCGCGCATTCGACTCGCTAGTTGGATCGTCGATTCTTCGATTCCACGACTTTCTATGGAACCGGTTCCCCATCTCTTAACATTGATTATTATTGACTTTCTATGGGAACCGGTTCCCTATCTCTTAACATTGCCCCATTGACTTTCTATGGGAACCGGTTCCCCATCTCTTAAAATTTCCCCATTGACTTTCTATGGGAACCGGTTCCCCATCTCTTAACATTGCCCCATTGACTTTCTATGGGAACCGGTTCCCCACCTCAAAACATTGCCCATTGACTTTCTATGGGAACCGGTTCCCGATCTCTTAACATTGCCCCATTGACTTTCTATGGGAACCGGTTCCCCACCTCAAAACATTGCCCATTGACTTTCTATGGGAACCGGTTCCCCATCTCTTAACATTGCCCCATTGACTTTCTATGGGAACCGGTTCCTCAACTCTTAACATTGATATTCTTGGTTCTTTCGATAAAGTCACGTTGAAGGGAAACAATAAAATAATAAAATATATATAAAACAATTAAATTCTCAACGTGACTTTACCGAAAGAACCAAGAACATGAATCACTGCAGTCACGAAAGCTTTAAATAAAAATTTATTGCTCATTGATTTCTATGGAAATCGTTTCCCTATCAATACACGGGGCAATGAGGCTTGGTAGATCACACCAGCAGAGTGTGTGGACTAATCTCCATCTGTTCCATCTCACTCCCTCCTACAGCAGAGTGTGTGGACTAATCTCCATCTGTTCCATCTCACTTATACAGCAGTGTGTGTGGACTAATCTCCATCTGTTCCATATCACTCCCTCCTACAGCAGAGTGTGTGGACTAATCTCCATCTGTTCCATCTCACTCCCTCCTACAGCAGAGTGTGTGGACTAATCTCCATCTGTTCCATCTCACTCCCCCCTACAGCAGAGTGTGTGGACTAATCTCCATCTGTTCCATCTCACTCCTACAGCAGAGTGTGTGGACTAATCTCCATCTGTTCCATCTCACTCCCTCTTACAGCAGTGTGTGGACTAATCTCCATCTGTTCCATCTCACTCCCTCCTACAGCAGAGTGTGTGGACTAATCTCCATCTGTTCCATCTCACTCCCTCCTACAGCAGAGTGTGTGGACTAATCTCCATCTGTTCCATATCACTCCCTCCTACAGCAGAGTGTGTGGACTAATCTCCATCTGTTCCATCTCACTCTTTCCTACAGCAGAGTGTGTGGACTAATCTCCATCTGTTCCATCTCACTCCCTCCTACAGTAGAGTGTGTGGACTTATCTCCATCTGTTCCATCTCACTCCCTCCTACAGCAGTATGTGGACTAATCTCCATCTGTTCCATCTCACTCCCTCCTACAGCAGAGTGTGTGGACTAATCTCCATCTGTTCCATCTCACTCCCTCCTACAGCAGAGTGTGTGGACTAATCTCCATCTGTTCCATCTCACTCCCTCCTACAGCAGAGTGTGTGGACTAATCTCCATCTGTTTCATCTCACTCCCTCCTACAGCAGAGTGTGTGGACTAATCTCCATCTGTTCCATCTCACCCCCTCCTACAGCAGAGTGTGTGGACTAATCTCCATCTGTTCCATCTCACCCCCTCCTACAGCAGAGTGTGTGGACTAATCTCCATCTGTTCCATCTCACTCCCTCCTACAGCAGAGTGTGTGGACTAATCTCCATCTGTTCCATCTCACTCCCTCCTACAGCAGAGGGTGTGGACTAATCTCCATATGTTCCATCTCACTCCCTCCTACAGCAGAGTGTGTGGACTAATCTCCATCTGTTCCATCTCACTCCCTCCTACAGCAGAGTGTGTGGACTAATCTCCATCTGTTCCATCTCATTTCCTCCTACAGCAGAGTGTGTAGACTAATCTCCATCTGTTCCATCTCACTTCCTCCTGCAGCAGAGTGTGTGGACTAATCTCCATCTGTTCCATCTCACCCCCTCCTACAGCAGTGTGTGGACTAATCCCCATCTGTTCCATCTCACTCCCTCCTACAGCAGAGTGTGTGGACTAATCTCCATCTGTTCCATCTCCCTCACTCCTACAGCAGAGTGTGTGGACTCATCTCCATCTGTTCCATCTCACTCCCTCCTACAGCAGTGTGGACTAATCTCCATCTGTTCCATCTCACTCCCTCCTACAGCAGAGTGTGTGGACTAATCTCCATGTGTTCCATCTCACTCCCTCCTACAGCAGAGTGTGTTGATTAATCTCCATCTGTTCCATCCCATTCCCTCCTATAGCAGTGTGTGTGGACTAATCTCCATCTGTTCCATCTCACTCCTACAGCAGAGTGTGTGGACTAATCTCCATCTGTTACATCTCATTTCCTCCTACAGCAGAGTGTGTGGACTAATCTCCATCTGTTCCATCTCACTCCCTCCTACAGCAGAGTGTGTGGACTAATCTCCATCTGTTCCATCTCACTCCCTCCTACAGCAGTGCGTGGACTAATCGCCATCTGTTCCATCTCACTCCCTCCTACAGCAGAGTCTGTGGACTAATCTCCATCTGTTCCATCTCACTCCTACAGCAGAGTGTGTGGACTAATCTCCATCTGTTCCATCTCACTCCCTCCTACAGCAGAGTGCGTGGACTAATCTCCATCTGTTCCATCTCACTCCCTCCTACAGCAGAGTGTGTGGACTAATCTCCATCTGTTCCATCTCACTTATACAACAGTGTGTGTGGACTAATCTCCATCTGTTCCATATCACTCCCTCCTACAGCAGAGTGTGTGGACTAATCTCCATCTGTTCCATCTCACTCCCTCCTACAGCAGAGTGTGTGGACTAATCTCCATCTGTTCCATCTCACTCCCTCCTACAGCAGAGTGTGTGGACTAATCTCCATCTGTTCCATCTCACTATTTCCTACAGCAGAGTGTGTGGACTAATCTCCATCTGTTCCATCTCACTCCCTCCTACAGTAGAGTGTGTGGACTTATCTCCATCTGTTCCATCTCACTCCCTCCTACAGCAGTATGTGGACTAATCTCCATCTGTTCCATCTCACTCCCTCCTACAGCAGAGTGTGTGGACTAATCTCCATCTGTTCCATCTCACTCCCTCCTACAGCAGAGTGTGTGGACTAATCTCCATCTGTTCCATCTCACTCCCTCCTACAGCAGAGTGCGTGGACTAATCTCCATCTGTTCCATCTCACTCCCTCCTACAGCAGAGTGTGTGGACTAATATACGTACGTATGACATTAATTTATGACCATAGTAATTGCACAATTCAACCAATGCTTTGCGCGCACATTTAAGTTGGAGCTAATTTTTTTTAAATAATTACCTAGCGGCAAGCAGCATCGCCATCGCCCCCAGGTAGCCTCTAACAGACTGTCGGGGCAAGTGCTGTCAGCGAGCAGCAGCAGCAGCATCGCCTATGGGGCCGTCCATAAATGACGTCACGCGATTTTGGACGATTTTTTACCCCCTCCCCCCCCCCTCTCGTCACACGTCACAAAAAGTCAGACCCCCCCCCCTCCTCCTCCCTCGAATATGACGTCACAAAGCTCTGCCCCTCCCCCCCCACCCCCAAAAAAATATATAAAACGTGCTTAAAATCGCTGTAAACTATCGTCATTGTAGTCGTTGCGTGTTTAATGTGGCGCTACACTCTGACGTCGTAGGAGAAAACATTTATTAAAAAAAGTCAATTTAATTAAGCGGAACGTGTTGTCTGTGTTTATTTATAAAGTTGCGCGTTTTGACGTGACGTCACATTTCTCAAACCCCCGCCTCGCCACACTTCGTCACAAATCTCTCACCCCCCCCCCCGCCGCTAAGTGCGTGACGTCACCACGACCCGCCCGGCCGCCTTTGTCTTCCCTTCCGCAGTGGCGATGTTTAACCACACACCGCGCCGGCGACTCATTTGAGGCTGAGTCGACCTAGGGGAAGGTTGGCCCCAGGACCGGTTCAGGTGAATCGTCACCGGTGGTGGCGGTGGCCGTGAGCGCTAACCGCTGCACCACCACTCCCCACGACTTCTTTCACACCGTACGTAGCCAACCGTGCTGTGTGTTGAACTTCTTTCACACCGTACGTAGCCGACCGTGGCTAATCGCAGGTGCCAGGGGCATGATAACAGTGCCCTCGTCAGTGAGCCTGAGAGCTCAAATTCCCTTCACAAGAACACGGGGTGGTAACCCGTATGGGTTGACAGGTATGTAGTGTGTAGTGTATAGTAATGTATAGTGTATAGTGTAGTGTATAGTAGTGTAGTGTATAGTGTAGTGTATAGTAGTGCATAGTAGTGTATAGTGTAGTGTATAGTAGTGTAGTGTATAGTAGTGCAGTGTATAGTAGTGTATAGTGTAGTGTATAGTAGTGTAGTGTATAGTAGTGTAGTGTATAGTGTATAACAAACCTGTCAGCCTCTTATCAGTGCCCTACTTTAGGACACCAACTCAAACCTTATTGGTCACCCCATGCCCCTAATAAATCTCAACGTTCAGCCCCATCACCACACGGGAGAGACACACACCACCACCACCACCACGGTAAAACCACATTTTAAAACCCCACCACACACACACACAAAGTGAAAGCGGAGATCAGCTGAACGAGAAAACTCTTTAAACACAACAAATGTGACCCTCCCCCTCCTCTCTATTCACAACGTGAGACTCTTTATAACTGTACAGGTATCATCATCACCATCATCACCTCTCTCCTCTCCAACGCGGACGAAGCCAAATGAAAATCAACCTCTAGTATCAATCTTGATTTGCAGCGTTCGTGACTGCAGGAATCCATACCGTATGGTTCTTTCGGTAAAGTCACGTAGGTAGAAAACAATAATAGATCTCGACGTGACGATCACAACACAAGCAATCGTCTTCAGGTGAGACAACCACGGCGAG